TCATCACTATTTGATTTTTATTACATAGATCCATAGATATTACAATATATACAATAAGCAATATAAAGTAAAAAAAATATCAATAAATAATAATAAACTTTAATTCTTAGTCTTTATTAAGTATTTAAGAATATCACAATGTATGCTTAATGAGTTAATTAACTTATCAATCTCATGTGGTGTAAACCACTAGCCAAAATACTTAGGATAAAATTGATAATAATATACTTATAAAACCTTTATAAGTCAATCTTAATCTTATCTACTTCTGATATGGGACTAATAAGGGTGTTACATTTTTAATTGTACAAGGAAAGAAGTGGTTATTACCTAGCTACTCATGGAGATTTTAAGATCAATGGTGCCCCTTTCAATCACAAAGGATGAAAGGAGCTCTTTTTCCTCGTGAATTTAAGTCAATATTGGACATTTAACCACATCTGGTTGACATAGTACATTGACAATACCCCTCCTTTTTGTCGGACAAAGAGACGGGTCAAGTGCTTGGATTGAGAGATATACTCTCCTCCTTCGAGATAGTCTAAAAGATGGATGATGAATGATTGATCGATACGAGTCTCAGCTTGGCTCCTCGGGGTATAGCCTAAACCTCCCATCACTTCTCTTTATCTTTTTTTAATTATAGCCTTGTCATTTAAATCTTCAATAGGAATAAATCTATATTCTTTGAAGCAAGAGGTCCTTAGCTCCTCGTCGAGCATGACAGAACCTCGTTTGTTACCTATTTGCGAGTTGTCGGTAGAGGTGTTAGACCCACCTTGGTCTAATCATCATGGCGACACCAATAGACCAAGGAAGAATCATAAGATCATCGCCAAATAGATCCTCATTCCCAAAAGGGTGGCGAACCCAAGGAGCCAACTCAAGAGAGGGAGTTTCATGGAAATACAACAATATCGGTACCCCCGATGGTCAAAGTTCCAAGTTCTAAAAAAAAAAAGGGGGAGCAAGCCATGATCTATGTTGGATTTGTGCAAAGAGAAGCCTCTACCCTTTGTAGCTTTATAGATTGTCAATTTACTAAAATCAACCTTAGATGCTTCATTGTAGTTGAAGTGGGAAAGTTTAAAAGATATGTAGAAGGTGTGGGGCGAGGGTACAATTGTAAAGTAGGATTATCATGGGTCCCTATGTCTATGGATAATAAAGCAAATCTATAACCCCTCATATATTCTAATTGACACCTACTATCAGAATGAAGTGGTGGTAAGTTAGGTTATAGCTAGCCTCTTTTGTTTTCATTTTACTTGTGTTTGAGATGGTAGCATCGTCATTCACTAGTAGTCTCTCATGGCCGATAGAGATCAAGGAATTGAAGAAGGAGAGGAGCCCCTTTTGTTATTATCAAGGTCGAGGCTTGAGTGACCGTGTTGACACATTAATTGGAGGATGTCGAGCAGTGTTTGATTGACCTCACCAAGCGATTGAAAGACATTCGGGTAATAACTTAGCAATAGAGGATGAATTATTGTAGCTTACTTGAGAGCTAAACTCGATAAGATCAAGTAACTCGAAACTCAACAAGGAGGTCAAGGCAACTAAAAGGGGGGTTCGCAAGCTTAGGGAGGTATTAGAGTTCGAGTGACATCGGGTACTAGAGTATCATAAGAAAGCAATTGTTAACTACAAGGCCTTTGTTGGGTTTAAGAGGGGTTTGGGGAGGATGGGGGTCACCTCGTACCAGTTTAGGTACCAAATTGGTTTAGCCCACTTTAAGATGAGGTACCCTAAACTAGAGCTCAAGAAAGATCCATTCACGGACTACCCCAAGGACCATAACATCTTAATGCCAACCAAGATGCCCTTTGATGACAGTCCTGATTCATCGCCTCATCCACTCATTTGAGTTATTTTCTTTTTTAGTCTTCTAATTAGTCAACTTGATTTGTTCCTCATATCTATCCCACCAACGCTATATTTTGATGGGTTAGATTTTTGCCTTGGATATAAAAACTCGACCTGATTGATGTAACATTCCAAAAAGTAATATTTTTTAATTCAAAACTAGGACTTTAAAAATACGTTCTACAATTACCACCCTGGGCTTGATAAGCCAATATTTGATACACAGGGCATAGTCCTCCTTGATCTGATCCCAAGAGAGGTCTTAGGGATAAAATCTCTTCAAGTTTGTAATATATCATCTTCTTGGCAATACCCTACCTTATGTTTTCTCGATGTGCTATGTTATATTTTAGAGAACTTTAATAACTCGATAAGACCATTTCTAATTTGGCATTAGCTTCCCTCGAGATCTGATCGGGTTGTTGACCTTAGCTTTTCAAAGTACCAAATCCCCTAACTTAACCCTTTGGGGGTGGTTTGGTCATAAAGCATGACCATCACCCTCTTATACCTCAGTTCTCATAAACATGCCTTAGCTCTAATTTCATTGATTAGATCGAGCCCAACTCGAAGTCCCTCTTCAAAGATTTCTTTATCAAAGTTCTTTGTCTGAGGTGTTAGGAAAACTATCTTTGGTGGTAGGATAACTTTAGTGTCAAATGCCAAGTTGAATGATGATTCTCCCAAGTCGATTATGGATGTCATTCGAGAGGCTCACAGAATGCTTGACATCTCTTCTACTCATGTACCCTTCACTCCATTAGCTTTTCTCTTTAATCCTTTGAGAATGATTCAATTGGTAACCTCGACGAGATCATTAGTTTTGAGATGAGCAACTGAGCTAAACCTTAGCCGAATCTCATACAATCGATATAAATTCTTTGAACTTTATACTATTGAATTGAGTCTCATTATTAACGATGAGTATCCTTGGGATTTCAAAGTGATTGATGATATTTTTCCACACAAATTTCATTACTTGCTTATCGATGATCGATGCCAGTAACTTAGTTTCCACCCATTTTGTGAAATAGTTCACTCTAACAATAAGGAACCTCCACTAGCTTGAGATAGTGGAAAAGGTCCTAAGAGATACCCACATTGGGTGAAGGGTCATATATAGTCGATTGGACTTAGAGGAACCATCGGTTGGTGTTGTATTTGAGTAAATTTTTGACACCTAAGGCATCTTTAAGTATAGGCGATTGGATCCTTATGCAACATCGACCGGTAGAACTACTATCAAAGCACTTTGAAGGTAAGAGTTTGACCACCTATGTACCCCCCATAAACACCTTCGTGTACCTAAACGAGTACTCTCTCGGCCTTTTGGGGTGTTAGGCATTTAAGGAATGGTCAGCTAAAGGACTTATGGTACGAGTAGTTGTTAATTACACAATACCATGTTTGACTGTTTGGGCCGTCGCAAGGTTGGTCATAGTCTTTTCATCTTTTTTATAATATAGGATCTCATCCATTCAACTTGGTTTTTTCTCAACCATGGACACATTTTTTAATAGTTTGGATCGATAGTGTCTCGACCAATAGTCAACCCTCCCGCAAAGCTCGAGTGGAGGCTAACATAGTGAGAGTATCTGTTTTGCATCTTTTGCATGTGGGACCCATAGCATGTTGAGTCTGGAGAAGCTATGAGCCAACTTTTACATCTCTGCCCAGGACTATCATAAAGGTTTATGATAGTCGATATATAAAGGTTTATATATCATTCAAGACAAAGTTGACTATAATAAAGTTGACTATCATAAAGTGTAGGGTTATCTGAGGTAGAATTATCGAGCTCTCGGAGTGTCACATGCATAAATATTGACGTCGGGAGGGGTTTCCTAACCTAGTCCCTCCATCAAAGTATAGGATTATCTAAGGTGTCTTTGAGGTAGAATTATCGCCCTCAAAGACACCTTAGATAACCTAGTCCCTCCATGTGACACTCCGAGAGCTCGATAATTCTACCTCAAAGACATATTAGATAACCCTACACGTACGAGTTTGAGACTATATTGGGTTGACTAAGATATGAACGATATTTTCCCTTAACAGCTAACTGTATAACTCAATCTCTCTTAATCCATGAGATAAGATCTTAGACCTTTTTTAAGGCTCATTTTCTTCTCGGCTTTACGTATGACTTTTCTTGCAAATGGAGGATGGGCAATTATCTCATCTATTAGGATCCAAATCATAATTCAAATCAGGCAACTACCTTTCGTGGGGGGGGGGGGGGAGATAAATAATAAAGAATATACTATCAATTGACATGCGATTGGTATCTAAGTCATTCTTTACCTATTTGCTTGAGATTCAAAGTAGACAAACATAAGCTTCCTTCTCGTCCATTATGATGAGGAAGATAATCACAAAAAAAATTTCTATCAATTAAACATAATAAGAATAATAACAACAACATATCTTAATTATCTGATATCATCTATATATAACTATTTTCTAGTCACTAAAATACATTCTATTTTATCCATCGTGAACATAATTACTATTTTTATCATATGAAATGGTAAGTGATAGAAGAGAAAGATAGAATTTCATATTTCTTCACTAAAACTTCTCTCTCTCTCTCTCTCTCTCTCTCTCTCTATATATATATATATATATATATATATATATATATATATATATATATATATATATATATATATATATATATATACGAGACCACTAATTTACAAAAAAAAAAAGGATAAAACTGAAAGAAATTTTGAGAGAGAAGATTTTAGGTCCTTGACTCCTTTTCTTCCCGGCTCTACTGACGACTTGCGCACAAACGGAGGCCGGTTAATTACCTCCGGTGTCGGGATCTAAATCGTCACTCAAGTCGGGCCATGGGCGTCTGATTCTTCCACGCGTCCACCATATTAATGCGTGGAGGGGCCCGAAAATGAGCTCGAATTGGTATACTGCCGCGTGCTCCGTGAGGACTAAGAGTCTACCGTTGTCTTCACCATTTTCTAATTGGTCAAAATGTGGGTCCCAGCGGGACCCGTTATAGCTGGAGCCGAGTGAGTCCGCAACCAGGTCGAGGAATGTATGCTTGTATAACAACCCAACCACGGTTAAGGGTAATAGAGAGAGACGCGTACGGCTACGAGGCCGCATCAAACGTATAATAACACCACGACACCGTCGCCGCCTGCGCCCATTCTTCTTCCAAAGGCGACAGCTTCCCGTCTGCTGGATCGCAATGCAGGGGGACGGCAGATGCCAATTCCCCTCTTCTGCCTCCCTCTCGCGATCCACGGACGCTTAGCATCGGTTATCGCCTCCTGAGTCCCTCCAAATCCGGCCTGTGGCCTCCATTTACCCCCCGTCAATACTATGTCTCTTGGCCTTTCTTTGGCGACTCGCTGTGGCTTTTTGCGGAAGGAGGTGGTTTTGGTGGTCTTGATCGATCGTTCGCTGCATCAGACTGCAGTAGGTGGTGGCTTGAAGTAGGAAACGATCGCATTCTTGACGGTTCTTTCCGGGATTTCTTTTAGGTTGGAAAGATAGTTGGATCCAAAATTTTGGATTCTTGGGAAGACGTATCAAGCTCTTCCGGGCTTCAATTTCACTTTCCAAGCTGCATGGAGTGCTAAAGCAGAGATTGCTTGGTTAGTTGTTGATTTTGAAGGGAAAGAATGGGAAAAAAAGGACTTTTTTAGGCTTTAGATGAGGTTTCGATGATTAGAACGGGAGGGGATCTTTTCAAGAGTTGCTGTGTATGGGGCGGGGTGCATTTTGGACTCATAGAAAATGCCGGTTGGAGTGGACGATGGGATCTGAGTGCAGACAGAGGCACCACGGTCTGAAGCTCGGCGGCGAAGCGAAGGCGGAGAAGCTGAAGGGCAGATCCAAGTTGAAGCTTTGGATGGTCAGGACGACGACTACGGTGCTGCTATGGACGTGCTTCCTCCAGCTCATGGCGCTGGGGGAGACATGGGGGCCGAGGGTATTGAAAGGTTGGTCATCTTGCGTTACCTTCTCGGATTCACCGCTCTCCGTCAAACAAGTTACTCCAAGCGTTGAGAAGATCGTTCTTCCACCGAAAAGTGAGTTCTTTGTGCCCTCCATCAGATCAACAAAGAAAAATTTCACTTCCAATTATTCTTCACTATCTTGTTCTGCTTCTACATAAATAAAACCTGTTTAGTGCCTATAAGGTTAAAATTTCTAATGATTTTGATCGCTTTGTGATTGATTTAGTGTCTGACAGATTACTGGGTTTGGTGATGAGATCTGTTGTTCTTGAATTTTGGCGTCGTTGTCAGTAAATTGTGACTTAGCTTTATTTAGGTTCCCAGTTCTTTGATAATTTTCAATGGTTGAAATGTTTCTTTCTTCATGTATATGGCAATTAACGCAACTGAGGTGATATCCTGATGCCTATTTGTCATTTTCTTTAAATGCGATTAATAATAGTAATTCGCTAATAGCATGTGAACAGTCAATTTTGGGTTAGGGGGGGGATATATTCCTTTGACTGATTTGCTACTATCTATGTTCAAGCCCAAGGCCTTGTTGGTGGCATAATCTTTCTTTTGAACCATTACTAGTGTTGACATCTTTGTCATCAATATATCATGATGACATGCCCAAATAATGTTCACTATTGAGTAAGTTAAAATATTTTGCTTTTGCAAAGGTAATCTACTTATTACGTCTGACAAATACATGGTGAAACATTATTGTTGGATTTGAATCATGTTGCTATATAATTGTTTGCTCATCTGGGATGATATGATTGTTTCCTCATGTGGATTTTATGGTGCATTTACCTCTAGGAATCTACAGAAATAATGGGTATGTAATGGTTTCATGCAATGGTGGGCTTAACCAAATGCGAGCAGCAGTAAGTACCCAATATTTTTTTGCTTTTTATCTTGAGCAATTTAGCCTTTTGTTTTTTCTTTTGCTTTTCAATGGAACTGATGGCTCAACATTTTCTTCAGATCTGTGACATGGTTGCTATTGCAAAGTATTTGAATGTGACACTCATAGTACCGGAGCTGGATAAAACATCATTTTGGGCTGATCCCAGGTGTGTATGTAACCCTCCTAATCAAATATCTTATTGGGATGGTTTTTCTCATGACTTGATGAGCTACACACATCTTGACCTTTTTTTATCCGGACTCTCCATACTACTTCCTAGAACTAAAATAACAATCATTGATGTGGCAGTGAGTTCCAAGATATATTTGATGTTGATCATTTTATCACCTCATTGAGGGATGAGGTACGGATATTAAAAGAATTACCACCTAGACTAAAAAGGAGGATTAAACCGGGAATAGCCTACTCTATGCCACCTGTTAGCTGGTCTAATATATCGTATTATCAAAATCAGGTTAGTATGTCTGTTTAAACTTGATTGAAAGAAATCTATCTAATAGCAATGCTATTACAAGTGTACTGAGTCATGATTATCTGGCAACCAGATTCTTCCTTTGATAAAGAAGTACAAGGTTGTGCACTTCAACAGGACAGATGCAAGGCTTGCCAATAATGGCCTGCCTTCAGAGATCCAGAAGTTGCGTTGCCGGGTGAACTATGCTGCTCTCAGATTTACCTCTCAGATCGAAGAGTTGGGTAGGCGGGTAATTAGAATTCTGCGACAGAATGGTCTTTTTTTGGTTCTCCATTTACGATATGAAATGGACATGCTGGCATTCTCTGGATGTACCCATGGTTGCACTATTGAAGAGGTAGAAGAGCTGACAAGAATGAGGTATATTATTTCTTGATTGGTGGTCTTCCATAGTCTTTTGTTTAAGTTTCTTCAAGCGACTTCCTAGACGTTTATCCATTTCAGATATGCATATCCTTGGTGGAAAGAGAAAGTTATTAACTCTGAAGTGAAAAGGAAAGATGGTCTCTGTCCTCTAACTCCAGAAGAGATTGCTCTGATCTTGAAGGCACTGGACATTGATCACAATATCCAAGTATATATTGCTGCAGGAGAAATATATGGTGGTGAAAGGAGAATGTCTGCCCTTTCCGATGCTTATCCAAATGTGGTGGGTTGTCTGTAGAAGTTGACCGTCAGTTGTTTGTTTTTTATTTCATTTTGCCTAATTAATTTTAATCCTATCGAACAGGTAAGGAAGGAATTGTTACTGGGACCCTCAGACCTTAGATATTTCCAGAACCACTCATCACAGATGGCAGCATTGGATTACATGGTTTCTCTAGAGAGTGATATCTTTGTACCTACATATGATGGCAACATGGCTAAAGTTGTTGAAGGCCATCGCAGGTACTGCTCTTCCTGTAGCATCACTGACATCTATTAGACAATCATGGACCTTAGTTTCAATTTGAACTTGGTTATTATGGTGAACGAAATTGACTCTTCTCCATTTAATTGGTGTTTGCTATGGACAACTATATGTTGAATTGTTTCCATAAGACCACTGGACTTCTATTACTTCGATGCATCAAAGTTTCCATGTTATGCTGGCAAGTGGCTCCTTTGTGCTAATGTTAACATTACCCGAAGCCCTGTGAAAAAATTCGAGATGAATATGCTTATTTTGGTCACTGTTAATGTTTATGCATGATGCTAAGTGAGAAATAATAAAAATTACATTAATTATTAACAAATGATTTGAAATTTTGTGGTGTATGTTTTAGAGAAGATATCATTTAGCTGATCTCAGCTACTTGAGTATTTATTAAATACACATCTGTTTGGGTTTTCCTTGAAAATAGTGGATTAGATCCACCCATTAATGTGCACAAAAGGTCTTGGCACAAAGCTAGACAAAGTTATTTTTCTTTGCTATTATCAATTAATTTTTTCTGTTCGGCTTTCTCTAAGAGGATATTTCTGTTTTTTGTCTAATTTGCAGATATTTGGGTTTCAAGAAAACTATCATACTGGATCGGAAGCTTTTAGTTGAGCTGATCGATCAGTATAGTAATGGTACAATTGGGTGGGATGACTTCTCTTCATCAGTGAAGGCAGCTCATGCTAATCGCATGGGAAGGCCTACCAGGAGAGCAGTGATTCCTGATAGACCAAAGGAGGAGGATTATTTCTATGCCAATCCCCAAGAGTGCCTTCAACAGCCTGATGAGCCATGGACATCATGAGTTCTTTATCATGGTATTGATCTCTTTAGAACACATTTGTTCAAAGAAAACCATCAGAGCGATCCTTCATGAAGGTGGCCCTTGTTGGACCAAGATCTAAAAGATGTAGGTTTTGCTTAGAAAAGGTAAACGCATAGCAAAGAGGTTATTAGCACATTGGAGGAGTGTTTTTCATGCAGCTGCTGGATATACATATTTATAGCATATCTTTCATTCTTCTAAATAAGATTGATTCCTGTGTAGAGAGGTGAGTGAATGTGAGAAAGTGAGGAGGGAGATCCAACTTTCAGGTTATCTCAGCTGCATGTACAGGAGATAGAACAGAGAGGATTGTTCTTTTTATGGATTGAAGATGTTGCTGAAAGATACTTCCTTCTCTTGAGGCATTGATCACTGATGGAGGTATATGGGTAATGGGGATCCTTTTAGTTTATTGATCTAATAATGGTTTTCTTTATCATTGTTGCACAGTGATGTAAAAGTTAAGCCTTTGGTGTCCAATAGGTGTTTGATATTGATTAATATTGTGCAATTAAGTTATCATGATGCTTTTCTCATAAACTCATGCATGTTCATGTGGGCACAGCTGCAGGTAGACATACAAATTGAACTGTCTTTTAGCACAAATACTATACAAAATAACACCTTTACAACAGTATGGAAGAAAGAAAAAGGAAAGGGGCCATACAAAGTAACACCTTTATTTTGGTGGCTTGGGGTATGGAGGTACTAAGAAACTCTAATGTTGTAGATCTAAAAATATGATTCTTAGTCAATGTTGCATCTTAGAGTGACCTAAACATGGAAGTGCCAGAAGAAGTTAAAGCATAAGGTGGCAATGATCAAGAAAAGCTTGTCCTAGTAATAAGGTTTAGAAAGTACTAATCTCCAACAAGAACATTCTTAGTCCACTGATCCATTAGACACACATTGTTCATTTAACTACATTAGCTCAATTTCCATTTAAATGCAGAACCAAATATAGTACAACCCTCAAAAGGATAGATATCTAATCACGTCCACAAGAATATACTGCCAATGGGACAATCATCTTGATGAGCTTACAACAGCATTCCTATGAGAAAATAGACAAAACTCCACAAACATATGGAAGCCTGTAAAAGAAAAGCAGCTTCACATATTGCAATGTAGGCCTATTGGCAGATGGCGATGGAAATTAAATTATACCAACAGTTCTCAAATTCGCTAAAACTAGAAGACTGATCAGAATAAACACATTTAACAAAGGTTCAGCAATGCTGGTGACACATTAAGCTGAGGAAGGAAGAACTAGCAGTTATCAGCCTTGTGTCTCTTAGCTGCTTGTGAAGACTCCTGATTGGTGATCCCCATCATCGAGCGACCAACTGCTTGATTAGTTGATGCCGGATCATCAGGATCCTATGACCATTAAGGAGAGAATTAGAACAAGAGTAGATCATGTTTGAAAAGGGTGATATAACCCAAAATTAACCTGACAGCTCCAAGAACTGCAACTGACATTATTTTAGATGTTTGCATGTGCAAGCTGCACACGAGATCAATAAACATATGCCCAGTACATGCAGGAGATGGATTAGAACAAATATTTTTATATAAAGCTCATGGCCAAAATTAACAAACAACTCATAGTGGTTATGATTTAAATACATTAATACAACAACAGCATGATTAGTTACATAACACAATTATACAAGTCCACATTCTTGAATCAAGTCTTGGACCTATTTAGACAAATTTGCCAAGAAAAAGAGCAGGGTTAACATAATCCAAGGGCAAGACTTAAAAATTGATGAACTAGAAAACAACAATTATAAGAATTATTCCTGCAAGCCACAAGTACAATGCAACAGTTTTGAGTTTCATCATGAACCTTGTGATTGCAAGAAAAAACAGCAAACTATGAGGGTCATAGGGCAATAGAGAAATGCCTCCAATTAAGTGGTTTACATGAAGCAGGACTAAGTTGATAGTCTTGACCCATGGAGAAGCAATACATGCATAATTAAGAATGGTTGACTTTGCACCCTGAAAATAATTTTGACCATTAAAGTAACATTAGAAGCTGTGGCCGAGACATTCTTCAAACATTGTTCTGAGAGTTTGGTCATTTTTGGTCATTTTTCAACCTTTGGCTTGTTCCAATCCAAACTGATTAGTTTCATAAAGTTTCATCTGTTTCATTATTTAGGCAGTTTTAGCCAAAAATAATTAAATTAAGCTTAGAATAATCTTTGGGTTTGTCACCAATATATTATATGACAGATCCTAGAGACGAAACAATTAACTGACTACATATAAGATATATAAGAAGCTAATCTAGAAACAAATATTTTGCACCCGATATTAGACAAACTAATAAAATTAAGGATCGGAGCAGCATCACATACTGTCGTTTCAAGAAAAGCTGAAGATCATTCATTATATGTAGCTCAAAGACACATGTGCTGTTATTTACAATAGAATAGCCTATACCTTGTAGTTGGACAATGCAGTGGTGGCAGTAGGTCTCCTGTTAGTTGCTCGCTTACCAAGATTAATTTGCACAGAGATGTTGGCTTGAGACAGATCTACACCAGAACTTTGTAATGTCTGAGTTAGCGACGTCAAAAGCCTGTTTGGTACCAAGCACTTCAAAGTTATTAAACTCATAAACAAAATATGTAGAAAATATCAAGTTGAAGGTTCTAATGCAGTTCAGCAAAAGAATATTTCCTATATGTGACATGCAACATAACATCAAATCTGCAAACATCAAGAGATCTTTGATATGAGAAAAAAAATCAAACAAAAAGAAACAGGAAATCAGGTGATAATAATAATGACATATGAATGATCATATATATTCACATATCTCTCCTAAGATATCCAAGTACAAGAAAAGAAAGACTTAAGCTTGAGCAAGTTGGTTAAAATATCCAATTATAACTCAAGCAGCAAACAGAAAAGTCTATTGAAAGAAATGAAGCAAACAGAAAAGTCCATTGAAAGAAATGAAATAGGTGAAGGAGTACGAAAACTGCACCCAAACAGTGATAAAAGAAATGCACACAGATGAAATGAGCAAACACAAGCATCCTTCCAGAAAAGTAATTTGTAAATGGATGTATAATTCAAGCTGAAATCTAGAAGCAGCATAAAAATAGTTATCAACGAATAGTTTGGCGCATACCCTTGGGAGTAGCTGGCAGATGCGTTAATTGTGCCCTCATCAATTATCAACTCTTCTTGCTCATTCAACATCTCACTGCTCACAGCACAATCAGCAGGGCTGGATGATCCTAACCAATGCGGCTGAGCCTGAGAGGGCATGTTATCTGCAACTGAAATCAATCTCTGATTTGCACCACTATTTACCCTCACAAAAGCAAATTATATTGGCCAATAAAAGGAGTTGTAGTTCACTTACTAGCAAAACCTGTAGCAGTTTCCATTATCTTGTAGGGGACACCAGTAGTCATGTCCAATTGTGTTGGATTCGGAGCATTTGAAAGCATAGCAGGTGCAGCAGGGATATCATTTTCATCAAACTGTCCAGCAAAAACAGATGCAGGAGGAGCAGAACCATTTCTAATGACTTGAGAAGGGTCAGATAGACCATCTACAGGGGTTTGGTTGTTGTTCTGTTGAAAGGGAAAAAAAAGGGATTATGGGTGGGAAGAATAGCAAAAAATCATTGCACCAGTAAAGCATATCACCGTGACAGCTCTATAAAAGCAAAGAGGCATAAAAATTGTCAATTGATAGTCATATTGCCTAATTGACAGACACCTGTGCATTCTTCCAGAATGATCTGTAATAGACTTTTACCTGCCATAAAACAAAAAAAACAAAGCAAAATATTAGAATAGTGCTTTTATTTGCATAAGTAATTAAGATTTCAAAATAAATTTGGAACCATCTTTTTAAAAAAATAATTCAAGATTGATTTGGGCCCAGATAAAAATTAAATTATGCTGCAAGAAAATTTGTCAAAAAGATACAACAGACTCAAGGCAGATTCCAAAGAGCATAATATTATCAACAGTAGAGAAATGTTCTATATGAAAAAAATATTTTTAGTACTTTTTTATGTTACAAAGAATATCATTTAAATTATAATAGTTTGTTACCAGAGCTTGCGTCATTTATAGAAGAATTTATTTTATACAAAAAAAGATGAATAAGCAGAGACCTACAACATAGCTAAAAGAATTAGATGCAAGATTTTAAATACTGTTGCTATACAAAGAACCTAGAAACATAATTCCCTAGACGGACAATTTCACCACAGATTGCATGTTTTAAGCAAATTTGCGTGCATAACCATAGTCATGCACATACATAGAGGAAGCATAACAAACAATTACCCAAGGCATCAATTTGGCATTATCCTGATTCCATCCTGGGTAAGATGACTCATATTTTTGAACCTTCTCTTGTAAAAACTGGATGTATTCAATCACCTGAAAAGTATAATAAACAATAAGCAAAACTGTTAATGTCAAAGAATATAATGTAGAAGAGGAAAGATATTCCATAGTTATGCACTATTGGTGATATATACCTCCAGAAGAAATGATGCTTTATCTCTCTTCTGATCGCTATGAGGTATGAGTTCCCTAAGTATCTGAAATCTGCAAGTACATAAGACAGTTAACATTCAACTTATTAAACTACAGAAAACAAGTGCACCACGTCACTTGTTGCCATAAACTAAACAGGAAAGTACAATATTCATGTATTGTTACAAACAATAGGTTAGCAACACCATATATAGTGTCACTTGTTGCCATAAACTAAACAGGCAAGTACAATATTCATGTATTGTTACAAACAATAAGTAATTAACACCATATATAGCGAAAAAGAATTTATGGAAAGGAAAACAGAGAAGGTTGAAAAGAAAAGATGAATTTCAGTTGAGACTTGAGAGTCGACTAATATTATCTCCTAAATTGATAGAGTATGACCATCCAATCAGTGCTTTTCCCGATTCGAGGTGAGACAACATTGTAAACTATCAATTAGAGAAATAAGCAACTTAAACAAACCAGTTAATTGCATAGAAGAGAAATTAATGTCCATGCATGGCCTTTAAGCCTTACAAAGATTTCAGAGAAAACAACCAGAGAGAAAGATGAAAAACAAAAAATCTATTATGGACTGGTCCTATTTGGTTGACAGACGGACCTACCTCACATACCCTGCTTGTGTGTCCAACAGCGATTTAAAAAGGCGCTCGGGCGAGGCGAGGAGAGGCCCGAGCGCCTCGCTAATCTCCCAGGCAGCGCGCTTCAAACAGGCGCCGCTTGGGCGCTCGCCCGAGCCAAGGCGCTGGGCGCTTCGGGCGAGCGCCAGGGTTAACCAAGGCGACCGAACCAGGATTTTAGGTCTGGTTCGGTCCTGGTTCGGTCTCCGATGGTTAGTTGGTTCAATCGAACCAACTAAAACTGCTATAAGTGACAACCGAACCCTAACTCTTGCCGCTACCACTCCCGATCCCGATCCCACTGCTCGCCGCTGCCTCCTTACACTCCGTTGCCGTTGCCGCTGCCTCCTTACACTCCGCTGCCGCTTCCTCTTTTCTCAGTCAGCAGGCTCAGCACCCCCTTACACTTCCTTCTTCTCCTTCTGTTAACAGTATACAGTATGCTGTTAACAGTATACTGTATACTGTTAATATTGTTAGGTTTATTTGAAATTATTAATTTTCAATACTGTTAATATATTTTCTTAATTTAATAGCATATTTTAATTTAAATTTTTAAATAATTATATGTATTAATTATATTTTATATTTTTATATTTTAGCGCCTCGCTTCGCTCGGGAGAGCGCCTAGCGCCTCGGGCGTTTTTGGACCTTGGCGCCTAGCGCTTTTTAAATCACTGGTGTCCAAGGACTCCAAGCACATAACCAATCAGGGGAGTTTATATAAGAAGCCCAAGACCAATAAACTGAGAAGTTGGCCATCCACCTAGGACCTTGGTCAACCAAAATTAAGGACCTTCTAGGCTTACACAGATTGCTGCCTACTCATTCAATGTGTCACCTTCACCCTATGGTCTCTTATATATCTCAATGAATGTCAGGATTATAGGTGGTTAGTATCACCTACAGGCAAAACTTGTCCTCCATCAGAAAAGCAGGGGGTCTTGCCTGCTACCAAACAATTATCATCAGTTGCAAAAGTGAGGCCCCTCCAGCCAAGCAAGGTATACCGCTCGACACTATCTTCCTTCCATCGCTCATCAGAGTTACCTTGGCTCATGATCTGGTGCCTCTTTGCCTTTGAGCTCCACACCTCAAGAAGTCCTTCTAGCCAATAGTCCAACTGGCTCCCACGTGGCTTCCCTCTCAGCAGACCACGCTCCATCTCCTAGATCTAAGCAAATCTTTCCAGATCATGCCATCAAAGTGAAAGCATAAGCATATACATTTTTTTTCTTGATTAGGGTTTAATTAATTTTGAGAGGGACCAACTATGGCCAAGCAAAACTAAGAACATGTAGAAGGTCACATCCAAAAGATCTAAAGTACATAGTGATTGTTATTTTCATGCTATAGCCAATTGATTAAACAAGTGCCAAATTGCACGTCTCATCGGTTCCTAAATTAATCGCCAAGGAGAACCAGGATACACAACTACTTCAAACTCCCAAAAAAAAACAGTTTAAAGAAAATGCCAGAATAAGTTTAGGGCAGAAACAAGTAACATATAGAGCAGAATTTGGAGATTTTTTCATATATTACCATAATGGTCACTTGCCTGTCATTGATTTTATTTCTTCTCCGCTGCTCCATGGCAGAATGCTTAGACCTCGGGGTAGTTGGCAGGTCATCGGTGCCACTTCCTTTCCCATCTGCTTTGATGGTCAAATCTGCTATCCATCAAGAAGAAAAGCATAAGAATTCAGAAGATATCAGTTAATGTCCAAACGAAATCATTATAACGCCTGCAAAATTTCATCTTTGCATGGGTCTATATCACTACCACTAAAAACCATAATAAAATGAAAATTGGGAAAAATGAAAACGAAAGCATTTCCCTTTCGTTACAATTCAAGTTGCAATTTGCAATTTGCAGTCAGACAATCCACATTATGCATCGGCGGTGGTTACCGACGCCGAACACGGAATAGTGGAGCGCATCTGAAAGGGAAAGGCGAATAAAAAAGAGAGAGAACAGAAACAGCTACAAAAGGAACCACCTTTATGGGAGAAGAAGAAGCCTTCTCTTTTCGCAAACTCCTGATCGTCGTCATCCTCGTCGTCGAACCCCCTGCCGGATCTCGACGCGGCGGCCTCCATGGATCGCTTCTCATCCGGCGCCGAGCGGCACCTTTCCAAGTCTAAAACCACTCCCACGGCTCTCAGGCGCTCCCCTGTAAGAGAAGAAGCTGCGGAGGAAGTAGAACAAAGAGAAGAAGAAGATAAACCTGGGGGTGGCAGCGGCGGAGTGTGATTGGAAGCTGCCGCGGCGGCAGGCACGGACGGCGAGGGGGGCGGCCGCTGCCCTCGGAAGCAAAAGAACGTATTGTTTAACCAAGTAGCCTATTCTTTAAGGAAAATTCCACCCCTACCCTCCCATCATCTCAATAATAATAATAATAATATAATATTCACAACACCATTATTATTCACAATCTTTTAAAAAATTAATAAATAATATTTTATTATCGACAGCTTCGATCTTCAAAACATTTCATTTCATCATCTATTTATTTTATTATTTTATTTATCTCTGATTATTAAGTGATAAAGTATAAGAATATATGTATATAAATGATAAATAAAGAGTAAGAAGATTTTATTAAAATTGAGTTATAAATTAAAGATATATATATATATATAGGGGTAACGTAGGAATATTAAAAAAATTATTATAGGGTTGTAAATAACAAATGTAAATAGTAATCTCCTAAAAATATAAAACAAATATTGGGATGAATTTTCAAAAAGAATTGATTTTTCTAGAAAAATATCCCTTTAACATCATTCTTTTCTATCTAATTTTTGAAATATCCCCCATTTTATCTTTTTTTACTTTTTTTTTTAATCAATCCATTGAGTGGATCAATGAATTTATAGTGTTTTTATATTATGCTAAAATATTTTCAGTAATACTAAAAATATTATAATATAGAATAAAAAGTTGTATTATATTTTTTTTTAGTATGATTAAGATAAAAAAACAAAGTGTTATAATATTTTTTATGATGTTATAGTTTTCCTAATATTACTAAGAATACTATAACATAATATAAAAATACTAAAAGCATAATATTTTCATAAAATTTATAAAAACTATTATATTATAATATTTTTATACTACGTTATATTATTTCTAGACCGGTTTACCGATCCATTATAAAAAGAAGAAAAAAAGATAGCTTTTTTTTAAGAATTTATCCAAAATATTATATAATTTGTTTATTATATTAGAGATTAAAACATATTTAATCAAAGGACTCCAACTATGAGAAGCAGCTAATTGTTTTAGATATTACTACAAATCTGAGAATCAATAATGCGAGTGAAAACAGAAAGAAAGGCCATAAAATTAATATGGGTAAAAAAGTCAAAATAAATAATTTATTTTTAGTCCTTAAATGTTTTCTTAATCTCTTTCACGCCCAGAAGAAATAAAACATGGAAAAAAAATTCATTAGCTTATCCTTTTTTTTATTGAGTCATAAAAAATTTCAATAAAATGAAGATTAATGACAACGATGTGGTTGACTTAATGTAATTTTAATTCAAGAAACTTTTTAAATTTTCAGAAAAAAAAATAATTTCCAATCCCTCTTGTTTATTAATGAGAAAGAAGCATCCTATTATTTATTATTTATATTCTATATATATATATATATATATATATATATATATATATATATATATATACTTTTAATTTGTGATGAGTCATTGCAGTCTTGCAGATATTTAGAAAACAAGGAAATTGTCGATCTAAACGTACATAAATGCAGTAATCTTCTATACTTTTGTAAGATACATATACATTTTTGATCGATTATGAACAATAAGTTTCATAACTCAATCTTCTATACTTTTGTAAGATACACAAAACTAGCCTAAGTTGACTTTGTGAGAGAAATGCTTAGCAGCGGCGACCATCGCTGCATCTGGCCCAGCGGGCGGGGCAGCCGATCCCCGCTTCACTCCATGATCGTGATCGGTCAGGAAGAAGCGTCGGAACCACGACCACAGTGGCTTACTGCCCATTCTGCTGCTCCCCATCACTTGCTTCGGGTTTAGGCAAGCACAAGAAGAACAACTTGGGGACAAATGGAGGCTCTACACAGGGAAGAATGCGTCGTAGGTGGAGAGTTGATGGCTTTCTATCGTAGTTCGGATGCTAACGAGCAACATATATTTATAGGGAGAGGAATGGTTTATGTTGATTGGTGATCAAGTTTTTTACGCTGCTTCTTTCTGGGAAGGAACTTGGAATCGAGTTCAAGGAATCAGCAAAGCTTTTGGACTGCTTGACCAAGGTTGCTGTCGTCAAATAACGTATTGATTTCTTGGAAGCTGCTGCATAAACTTGACCCAGCTATGGTGTAGGAGATTCCTGGGGAATAGAAAGGTCTTCTCTCAAAATATTAATTAGAAATATAATTATTTACGGGTATCGTTTGTAGTGATAAGTGAGATAGAGGAGATGCCATAGATATTAGAGGAGGAAGCCATTAAGCCACTAACTTGCATAGCATCTTAAAGACGCTATAATTTAGTTATATATACACGCCAAACAAGTATTTTTAATGGAAGAACTGAATTTGCTGCTTTATTATTATTATTATTATTATTATTATTATTATTATTATTATTATTATTATTATTAAAGTGATACTATATATATATATATATATATATATATATATATATATATATGTTAGAATATAAGTGATGAAACTTATTGACAACATTTTCAATATGAAAATCTTATCTTTCAATATGGAAATTTTATTTTCTATTATGCCCCCATAAGATGTACTGCGATTGGTGTTGTTGCAAGGGCACAGATAAAAATAATAGAAGATAAGAATAATTATTGAAAAACTTTATTGAATAAGTTTTAGCTTAAATACATTAAGCTATCTCTCTCGAGATTTACACTTATTTCCATGTAGAGATTGTTCGGAAAAAGCATGCTTTTCAATTTTTTTATTATCATGTTCTAATCGACGACTAAAAAAGCTTCATTGTTTGCGTTGCTTGGTGGTCAAGTTTTTAGTTGGAAGACTTGGACTTAAACGTAGGAGAAGAGGAGTCAGTCAAAATATATGAGGCGAGCACAAACAAAGTGAAATCGGTGTTGATTGTTTCTTGCTGGCTTCACAGATGGCGTGCAGCAACGCAGCGAAGGCGGCTTGTTGAAGATGCCATCGTTCTTTGATGAGGAAGTCACGCGTGTAAGCATAAAATCTGTAATCATGCTATCTATAATGCGGAAAAAACTTTTATACCAAGATTGAAATCAAATAAATTAGATCTGACAATATTACGATGCATACCTTTCTTGTTGTTCAGAAGAAATAAACCTTATCTGATTTACAAGTGCTCCATCGTCGGATCTGAAATATCAATCTGCAAGGATCTGCAAAAAGAACTAGATCCTTCTCCTCTCTTTCTATCTTTTCACATGACCACCTAGATTGATGGATTAGGGGATTAAGGGAGAGGGAGATTGAGAGAAAAACTTAATCTCTCATTTGACTCAAATTGAGAGAAAAACCTTAATCTCTCAATTGACTCAGATACTACTCAGATGCGCATTTGACCCCCTAGAGGTCCAGATGATATCTGATGATATATGATGATATCTTTAGCCCCTAGAGGTCCTGTCTATTTATAGGCGAGAGCAGAGGGTCTAGGATAAGTTATTAGGAGAGTTCCTTCCATCAAGGTTATCTCCTAAAGAATCCTATTTTAATATGGACTTCTTTTCTATTGGCCAATAACCATAATCAGAATCCAATAATATCTATAATATATCTTACCTAATTAAATAGGACCACATAATCTAACATTCTCCCACTTGGTCCAATAATTGGTAAGATACAAAAAGACTTAAAAATCAAAAATAAATAAACAAAATTTATTTAAAAAATAATTTGACTCAATTGGATTCTGAAAGTTTTGAAAAACTATATACACGCGCGTGAATTTTAGAAAATAGGCCAATAAGTCCAATAATAATAATAATAATACTATATTAAGTCT